TGGGTCCTTTCGCCTGCCCTGAGCTCAAAGGTGGCAGGGGATCTCTTTATCGAAAGGCAACACCTGGGTCCTTTCAGACTGATTGTCCGCCTGATGTGGGTAATTCGGACTTATCCCAGCTAGCGGACAGCAGTCATAAGTTTGCCCCGCGGACCCCCGGGTCCGCGGGGCAAATCTCTTGTCCTCTGAGTAGGGGATAAGATTTAGTTACTGGTAGGTAGAACGTGCGGAGGTTAACCATAACCTTCTGCGGGTTTGGTTCCTGTGCGGCAGCCGGCTGTGCCACCCTCCGGTCACACGGCTCACGCCGCGACACGTGGTGACCTAGGGCGCAATCCGTACCATGTACGGATCGCCACTCGTACAGTGTACTGTGCGTGCGCCGACGCGCGTGCGGTCGGCGCTGGAAGGCTTTCTAGGATAATAGGAAACAGCCTGGCCGCCTTTCGTGCATGATCGTGACACGGGTGCCGCATTTGAGCATTTCGCTCCACACTGTCAAGGGCGACGAGGCTCGTCACGCTGTACCGTGCGAGCATGGACCCCAGAATGCTGCCCTGCAGGGCTGAGCTTGTGGATTCGGATTCCTCAGCAATGCGAGAAACTTTTCCCAGCTTTTGCAGCTTAACAGAGCGACGAGAGTGCAGGCGGTCACAGCTCGTCTGCCTTCGAGCCTCCAAGATTCAGGCGCCGGTTGCAACGTCAGCATGGCGCCCCCGAGCTACAGCGACCTGTTCTCGATTGAGGGCAAGACCGCCCTGGTTACTGGGGCATCGTCAGGAATCGGGTCCCGCTTCTCGGTCTTTCTAGCGTCGCAGGGGGCATCAGTGGTGGTGGCAGCGCGCCGGAAGGACAAGCTTCATGACGTCGTGCAGGTAGGAATCAGTCCTTTGGTCTAGATTTTGACATTCTCGAGGAGTAGATTTGAAGAGGACGGTACCCTGCAATGCCCCTCCAATGAAGGTCGCTTCGTAGACTGTACGCCCCTGTGCATTTCGAGGATGGAAGTGAGAAGCTGACAAGGGGATGCTATAGCAAAGCAGGTTCGAAGAAACCAACCCGCTGTAGGTTGTAGATTCCGTAAGGCTGTCACATGCAGGTGTCGCTTTGATTGAAAATCACATGAGCCAATCACTACGAAGAAAACTTGGCTGCAGAAATGACCGTGAAAGCTGCAATCACTTGTTCACGAGCTCTGTGGTACTCAACATGGTCAGCATGCTTCATCAAATGTGTACAGGAGGCGGCCGCAATCTGGGGATCTCAGCAGTGACACCTTTCCCAAGGCAGAAGGAAACGATCCGTTGCTCTTCTTTCAGATGTCTGTCGAGCATTCAATCTTATAAATTACGTTCTGGGGCATTTGCTCTTTGCAAGATCGAAGCTATCCTCCTAACTATTCGAGAGTCTTTCTTCTGGAGCATGATTGTCAAGAGTCACTCATTCTGTGCAGGAAATCGAAAAGGCGGGCGGCAAGGCGAAGGCTGTCGAGCTGGATGTGTCAGCGAACCAAGAATCGATCAAGAGGAGTGTAGACGAAGCCTGGGCAGCCTTCGGCAAGCTGGACATCCTGGTAAGCAAGGAGACCGTCAAAGGATCGATGAGGAAACCGAATCCTCTGTTTGATGCTGGTTGACAGGCATCAACCTGTACGTTCCAAAATTCTTGAGTATTGGGCTGTTTTTCGATCTCGCTCACACCAACTCATACTTGCATCGCGTCTAGGTCTAATAATTGAAAGTACAATAAAGACTACTTTACTCAGTTTCTTGCTTCAAATGTGCATTTTCATCAACAGAAACCTCCGCCTTTGGACCGCCCGGCAACATACTACTTTCCCGATGAATGCTTTGGTCGTTCAGGCAAATGTGTCGGACGGGGCTTCGCTGAAATCGCACCTCCTCGGTTTCCAGGTAAACAACGCGGGGCTCGGCGGCGGCGAGGGCGTTCTTAAGGACAGCCAAGAGACGTTCGACGCACTGTTCAACACCAACGTGCGCGGCGTCTACTTCACGACCCAGGCCGTGGCTAGGCTGATGGTGGACCACGATCTCTCGGGGCGGATCGTAAACACGAGCTCGATCGCCGGGGCGGAGATGGTTATGGCCGGGTGGGCCATCTACGCTGCCTCCAAGGCCGCGGTTATCCAGCTAACCAGGTGGGTCAGCGGCTGTTCAAGCTGAGGCTTATGGGTGATCTCCCGTTAACCAGGTGATTCAGTGAAGTTTGGCGGTGAGTTTGGTTGATTTCCGTGTTTCCAAGGTGGGTTAGCGGAGGTCAATATTGACATCTCCTTGGTTATCCGGAACCAGTTGGGTCAGCCGCCTGGACGCTCGAACAGGAGGTTAACTTCTGCTTGAGTATTGGAACAGGACATCAAGGCTGAAAAGATTGCTTGACTTTCGTACGTTGCGTGAGTGCTGGCGGGTCTGTTGGGGGCTTTATCTTCCAGCAGAAGTAGCGAACGTTTCACTTCTAGGGCATTTTGTCGAAGCGTCCACTTCTCTTCCGCTAAGCCGCTTGCACTGCTTTCCTCGGTAACTTCAACCGGACAAGCTTACCGTGAAGCACATCAGGCAGATTTCGAAAGCAACCTGCTGATCGCAATCTGCTTGTGATGTAGAGGCGAAGCGAGTTCTGCGTACTGTAGACGTTCTTCTCCATGAAACGGTTTGGTCTTTTCGCAGGTGATTCTACGGTTCCTCCACAACGAAGCCGTCACTAAGTTCTGCAGAGCCAGTACCTTTCAGATTCCATCTTCCTGTACGGGAGGTGATCCCGCTTTGCCATGCTTTTACCTCATTCCGACGCTTTTGCTGACCGTCTGCAAAGTCCGCAACAGTTCATCATTCCGACGCTTTTACTGACCGTCCGCAAAGTCCGTACTAATGCGTGACGTCCGCAGGGCGATGGCGGTCGAGCTGGCTCCCAAGGGCATCAACGTGAACAGCATCGCGCCCGGCGTCTTCCCGTCGGAGCTGACGAGCTCAGTGGTCGGGACCGAAAGCGCAAAGCTAGTCCAGAGGGCAGTCCCTGCGCGCAGGTTGGAAACGCTTCCGCCGGCTTCCTTCTCGGTCTTTCTTGAAGTCCTATCTCGATCACTTTTTATTTTCTCGTCTTTCTCCTGGATTTGTCTGTTGAGCGGAAGCCACATCTCAATTTGCGATATTGACATCTCGTCTGCAGTCGATAATCTCGTCTCGGTCGTTCTGCAGTTTTGAGCGTTCCGCAGTTCTGCTTATTTCGCAGAGACCGGTGGGCTGTACCTCGTGCCAGCCGTCTTTGCATTCTGAGAAGCAACCTGCAATTCCTCCTAGTGACACGTCTGGTCTGTTTGTTGGACATTCTCGTCGCTGATCATCGTTCCAAACAAGTCACAATTTGAATGATCAAAAAGAAGACAGTCAGAAGGCTATCTCCGTAGTTCGTAGATTGTTCCAAAAGGCCCTCGGCGTTAGCAACTTGTGTTCTCAAAGCAATTTACACAGGAGAGATCATCAAAAAGAGTCTCTTTTGTGCAAACGCCTTCGTATTTGTAACGGCCTTTTTATGAGCCCGTCAAATCTGGCCGTCTTTTTCGCAAACAGAACAGGAAAGGGTTTGCGCTGGCATCTGTCAAAGGTCGGATGCATAAAATTGGGTTGATGAAGGTTAAAGTCCTGCTGACGTAACAAGCCCAATCCTGCTTCAAATGCAGAGTGGTTTCTACATAACGCAAAAACGGAGGCCTGACGTTTTGTGAGTCTCCTCAGTGCGTGCTGCTGGGGTACTTTGAGTGTCGTACCGTCCGCTTGCTGTCATCAACAGTAGTCCAAGTCGCCGTCCATTACAGACGGCTTGATCTCCTTCTTAGGGTCCGGGAAATCTGACGGGGTGCTCGACCGTGTTTGAAGAGTCCGACGTTTCGTAGCATGCAACGCTTTCGAACGGACCGATCTGATCGTGGGCCCGATAGGGTCTGCAACAGACTGTGGTCGCGGCCGTCAATATGCGTCATGCTGAATTCGGCCAAGATAACCCGTCTTCGAGCATTCCCGTGACTGGTGTAGATTCGAGTTCTGGGCGTTAGTCCACTTCGAAGCCGTCTTGTCATCAAAATACCCAGGGACCCGTACGGTTCTCTATCCTGTGTCTTAGGCTCATACGCGCACGTGGGCAAAAAGCGACCCGGTCTCAATGGGCACTGATTTGTCAACCCTTTCTAATTTCAGGTACGGAGACACGGAGACGGACCTGATGGGCGCCCTCCTGCTCCTCGTGAGCGAGAAAGCGTCTCGATACATCGTCGGGGTGACCATCCCAGTGGACGGCGGACACTCGCTATACACGATGGATCTGGCGAATCCAACAGCCATCTTTGACGAATAGAGGAGGAACGGCAGGTTTCAAGTACATAAAGGAGAGCGGTTTGGTCAAGTAATGCTGAAGCGAGTCAGCGGCTCGCAGTGTCATTGAGGGTCAGTGCGATGATGGTCAGTGATTTATGCATCCAGATCATGTGTCATGAACAGCAGAATAGAGGTTCTTCTGCAAGGACTATGGGCTTCCAAGAGGACTTTATGACCGAAAATGTAAAAATGGCAGACCCGAGCAATGCATGAAATCTAGACGGCTCTCACTCTGCGATTTACATGGTGTCGATGATTTGCAAACAATGCGATCCGCATAATACTTTTAGCAAAGTGCTCTATCTGATTGCGAGTGAGCAAAACGTTTCGTCGAAACATGGAGACAAGTGTACCATGGAAGATGGGTCCATTGAAGATGCATCCGTCTCGACATATCATGTTATGCTACAACGCTCCAATACAATAATATTGGATCACCGCAGATCCATACTGCAAACTGTCATCCGCTTGGCCATTCTTTGAGATTGGATCTGAGTGATTAATCTCAAAAATCGTGGCGTGGAAGCTTTGACCAAATTCTACATCCGCGTCAATCCCTGCATTTCCCAACCAGATGGTATGCGTCTGCAGAACTACCGAAGTCATGAACATCTTTATACATGGGCAGAGCGAGAGGTTTTGAACTCGTAAAGAAGTATGTTGAGTGGGGAGCGGTAAAAGCACTTCTGAAGTATCTAGCTGTCTCAGAGTGCACATCTTTAATTGCAAAGTCTTTCCATATATGATGTTGGACAAGATCGGTCCGAGATGACAATGCAGAAATGGGTCATCATATTCCGCTGAGGGAAGTGACAGAAAAGACAGCCAAAATCTCGATCCCACCCACTATGGTACACATGTTGATTCTCCGTTCTGCCGAAGACTCAACTTTTTACGGCACTTTCTAGCGTTCTCGTTTCTACATGCTTTAGGCGGTAAATGTTTCCGTCTGCTTCCAAGTATTTCTATTCTCCCCGATTCGCATCGATCCATCCTCCACCAATTCTCGAGCTGATGCTGTCTAACATCTCACAAAGGGACGGCTTCATTACACGGGCTGCCAGCTAGCCTCTACCATATGCGCTAGAGCTGACACGAGAAACGGTTCGCTTTATCAGTACCCGGTCTTCGGAGGAGAATAACTCGGCGGGCTGTAACTGGGGGGCGAGTAGCTCGGGGGAGAGTAACTGGGGGGAGAGTAGCTCGGGGGAGAATAGGACGGAGGCGAGTAGGAGGGGGGGGAGTAGGACGGAGGGGGGAAGTAGCAGATGAAGACGATGATCTCAGAGGACGGAGGAGAGTAAGAAGGGGAGTAAGAAGGGGGAGAGTAAGAGGGGGGCGAGTAAGAGGGGGGCGAGTAAGAGGGGGGTGAGTAAGAAGAGGGAGAGTAAGAAGGGGGGGAGTAAGACGGGGGAGAATAGGACGGGGGAGAGTAAGACGGGGAGTAAGAGGGGGGGCTATAGCCTGGGGAGTAAGAAGGGGGGCTGTAGCCTGGGGGGTAAGAAGGTGGGCTATAGCCTGGCGGTGCCGGGACGAGGTAGGACCCGGGCGGGCAGACCGAGGGGCTGTAGAAGTAGGGGGGGCTGTACCCCGGGGAGTAGGAAGGGGGGGAGTAGCTCGGGGGAGAATAACTGGGGGGAGAATAGCTCGGGGGAGAGTAACTGGGGGGGGAGTAAGACGGGGGCGAGTAGCTCGGGGGCCCGTACTGGAAGAGGTTCCTCTTGGCCCCATTCTCGGCGTCCACGAAGCTGGGATCCTCAGCCTGGGCGTCGCCGCCCTCCAGCTTGATGTCGCCGAGGTCAGCCGCGCCGTTTGCAGCGGCGCCCACATCGTCCGCTGCAAGAAGAGGAGGAACATGGAATATCAGGAATGCGAGGGTCCAGACAATGGATTCAAAGCTAAAGATCTTGGTTATCGCTGCGGGAACCTCAGATTGCGGAAGAAAAGGACTAGGGAAGAGGGTGAGAAAGTCACCGTACCTGCGGAACTGACCAGGATGAAGAGAGATTGATCTGCAAGGCCACGATAGGCTCAATCGATGTCTCCAAGTACTATCAATGGAATTTTTGGGGCTCCTGGGGCGATCAAAAGCTCAGGAAGACGAAGTAAGAGAATTGAAGGAGATCGCATCGCGAAGAAAAACGAATTATTTTCTTGAAGACACAGAAAAGCTGAGATCACTTAAGTACTCAAGCTTGAACGCATGCAACCAATACTCCTCCGCAAAAGCAGGATTGGGTCCCTTTCATTATTTTCCGTGCAGCATGATCCCATGCGAAATGATGGTCAAGATTTGATTCTGAAATTCGTTTTCTGATCGTCGAGGGACAGAAACCCCCTTCTAAGGAAACCAGTCGCTGCCAGAGTTAATAACGTCGAATGTGAAGTATCATAGGACCCGCGGGTTTGACTCTGTCCTTTTACTGTCTGAAGGGTACATGCAAAGTGGAGTTCCAGTCCTTAGCACGTAGTCCTCCTAACAACTTCCCTTCACAAGCCAAAAAAAATCTCAATGCAATAGCGAGAAGAAACTTCCATAATGACGAAGTTCTGCCGAAGCGTTTTTCAAAACCGTTTTACGAAACTTGCACCGCAGGAGTCACTCAAGGGAGATGTTTCTTTCCCGTAAGCAGATTTGTATGGTTATATACATGTTTCTGCAAACGGGTCCTCAAGCTTCGCGTGCTTGATGTTGTTGCTTGGGGACTACTATACGCGACGGCTGCTTCGACAAAACATTTGGAGGGCACTTTGTTAAAGAACCCGTCACCCGAACGCTTCCCCCGACACCCAACCCGGAAACACTGCAAGAAGCGTCATTCGAGACTGCCCTCCAACTTTTCTTGAGCAAGAAAACCGCCCAGAGCGCTCACCGTGCACCACGACCCCCAAGCCCAGAAGCCCCACCAGGAAGAGCGCCAGCAAAGGGCGGCTCAGTCTCGCCATCGTGCTCTCGTCTTTTTGACCGCCCACTTGGCTAAGACTTTCGATTGGGTGCTTGGAGGGCGCGAATAAAGTCGAAGGTGCCGGAAGAGGGAGAGCGCTCCTGCTTGCTGGCAAAGGCGCGAGGCAGCTTGGCGACTTGTGTTGGTGGAACTCTGAATGGAAATGAGAGCTGCGGGACTCGTACTAAGATTAGCAGAAGTCAAAGCTCGTCATTCTCAAGAGACTCGAAGTTGCACCGGGAGGTCACGAAGGGATTATGGACTTCAGAAGATGCGCTTGCATGGCTGCGGGGTCGTAAGTCTTATGTCTTAGTGTGCGCGCGGACTGTGATCTTGGACCCGCGTGACACGGGCTGTCCTGCGACGTCGCAGCATGCGATGCAGGCCCAATGTCAAATGTGTTGCGTCAATGACAGAGTCAATGGCACCGGCGCATCCATTCGCCGGCCGAGATCTTAGGCTAGGCGGCTGTTGTAAAATTTGTGATTCAGCAGCTAGCTGTCGTCATCCTCAATCTCCGGAAATCAAAATGCCATGCTGATAAGCGAGACGGCTTTGACTGCGCAGGTCGGATTCCTTGCCGAATGGGGCAGAATCTCTCCAAGGGAATTGACACTAGGGACTGCATCTCGCAGCATCAAGCAGAAGAGAAGCATGCATGCAGTACGATCGAGGCTGCAGCAGTCGCTCAAAATCGAGCTTTTCGGAAAATGGACCCTGATTTGCATGTTCTTGAATCATGTGAAAATTTCCAAACCTGCTCGTGCGATTTCTTGACAGTTGTTTTCTAGTTCTCATGATGACCACTCTGCAAGCGCACTTGCCCTTCAGGTGCCCACATGTCGAAGCATCTGGTGCAGTGTGCAAGACGACAAGAGAACGGCAGCTTCAAACCCGGCTTCAAACCTGCGGGACATGAACGTGTCAGGAGGAGCTGTCTGCACTGCGGCACGCTGAGGATGATTGCCCTCATGCAGGCCAATTTAATCCGCAGTGCGCACTGATCATCATGATGATGCGATCTACTCAAGAAGCCACTGGATTTGTCGATCCCGTGTAACTGGTAGCATGCCTCGCCCGCCGCGCCTATCATTCAAAGTTTCTCGATGGCGAAGGTCGAGATGCTGAGTGCCACACATCTCATTACTGTGGTCATGTGATAAGGAAAAGGGGGCTGCTACCTGCACATGTTCCCGCGCGATATTGTGAAAGGGCCAAACTTTGATAATTATACGGCTTGTACGTAAAGATCGTTTATTCGGAAAAGCCGCAAGGTCGTGCGTGCACGACGAGCTAATGAACGGCTGTTGAGAGTTTGATAGTGCCGTTCAATATAGATCTGAAAAACGCCTGCTCCATGGAGATTGAGTCCGGGTGCACTATCAGCAGGTAACTTGATGCTGCTGCTACGCTCACGCTGAGCATCTAAACCGAGGTCGAATTCGAGCAAGACATACGAGTCCCAAAACGCGCGCCGCATGCTAGCGACCCAACAATTATCTTCAGATCAGCACATGCGCCCACTCAAGCACGTACGTGATTGTAGTATTGAAGTGCCCCAAAACGATCATGTACGAAGGTCGAAGCTGGAATCAGCTCGGGAAGTTTTCAGCGTCATGCGCACATGTACCTCCGAGTCGTAGATCGTTTCTTTGGCAGCATCGAATAGAAGCTACGAATTCACAGATCATTCAGTTCGGTAGTAAACATTTTACGGCGATAACAAACAAACCCAAGGGTCTCTGTAGGATTGTCAGAGCATCCGTTTGAATTGACAATCTCAAAGAGGAACTCGTTTAACCAACACGTTTTCCAACCTGTGCACGCTCCTAAATTGCACAGACAAACATACCCTGTGGCTAGCTGAACGCTGACAGCGCACGAGCCGTGCGCTCTCGCCGTTTCCGCGGTTTGTTCTGACAACGAACGTGTTATGTTTGTTGACGATGGAGAAGTTCAGTCTGCTTGGTGGCCAGGTCGCTGTATCAATATTCAACATACTTATGTTACAAAGTGAACTTTTCGCAGCCGCGATGCACGTCACTGGATGGAGCACTGCTTCTTGCCGCTTCGGCTTCCGGACACCAGCGGCTTGTCTGGAATGCATGCGCCTTCGGGCAACGGCTGTTTTGCCCAAGGATCTTGGAGCACTTCGGCGGAGTATCTGCGAGGCGCAGATAGCATCTTCGATGGGTTGATTAGGAGGCGATTGTGTTCGAGACCCTCCAGTCCTTTGATTCGGAAACTCAGCGCTGTCCTTTGCCAAACCAGACTCTCATGAACAAAATCTCCGACTCTCCAGGCCAACGATATTTTATGAGTTTGACGTCAAGCAGATGGCACCGAGACGTCTACATCGGGCCCTGCTTACCATACCGCTAGATTACCCGTGGACCACTCTGGACACCTCTCGACAATGTTCCCAGGAGCTCAAAAGCCGCATGAATGACATAGTGCACCGTTTCACGATCAGTAAGAACCGATGTTTCGACGTTCATTTGCAACCACTCTCGATGGTTATCTGAGCCCAACCAGAACCTTGAGAAGCAAGACTTACATCTTGACCTCTTTGAGAGGCTTGTCGTGCTTCGTCTTCACGAGCTGCATGTCGTCCAACACGCTGAGGGTGCTCTCCGTGACTTGCCCAAAAACGGTGTGCTTGCCGTCCAAGTGCGGGCTCTGTTGGAAAAAGAAGAGGACACAGGCTGAGATGCCATTCTTCAAGAAGCGACTCAATCAGCCGTCAAACAAGCATCAAGTCGAATGTAGAGAACCAACAGGTCTTCAGAGCTAGACCTTCCAGGAGACGTGAACATTTGAAAAGCAACAGGTCGTAAACACTGAGCAGCAATGACTGTTCGGTCTTGACAAGGAAAGCAAGCTTCGCCCTTTTGCATCGACGACAGACGCCTGCCATTGATTCAGCCAACATGTCCCGCTGCAGCATTACTGAAGGGGTCGTAAAACCAGTGCCAAATCGCCACTTCGGAGATGGTTCCTTGATGACAGTTTGAGCAGATTCAACGTTAAACTCCATCTTCTCAATGCCCCCCATCAGCCAGCCACGCTGTCCGTAATTTTTGGAACGAAGGTTTGCAAAATCATGAGTCGGCAGTACCGAAGAGGTGGTTCAAATCAAATTGATGCACTGCCCCAAGACAGACTCTATGGAAAACGAGTTGCCGCTCTTTCAGGTCAGAACGACGGACTAACCCAGCTCCGCTCCGCAATCAATCAAACAGCGTTGAATGCGATCGCTTTGAGATTTCAACACTCACTGGCTTATACGTGATGAACCATTGCGACGAGTTCGCATTTCTGCCAGCATTGGCCATGGACACAACTCCCTTCCGGTCGTGGCTCAGCTTGGAGCTGATCTCATCTTGGAACACAGGGCCATATATGCTTTCACCGCCAGTACCATCGCCTGCACAAATCGAAGAGCACTCGGCATGCTGTTTGCAGCAGAGCAACAGCTCGATGGACACCAGATCTAGAAAAGTAGTGCTTCTAGACACCAGGTGCATCTGCTTCTGTCACCCAATCTTCCAGTCCGAACAACCTCGTGCTGGCTTTGACACTTACTCTCACATACGCTGATTGAATCCTTCTTGTAACTCAGGCTAGTCGAGACGCTGCTTCTGGAACAGGATGTGCAGCTGGATAGCTCCAAGAGTCACCCATCCTTTGAGGGGACCATGTAGAAAAGGAGGAAGCAACTGATTGACTGACGATGATGGAACCTCGAGAAGGAGGCTTGCCTCTCAGAGTAGCATACCTTTGGGGTCCCCAGTCTGGCAGATGTATTCTGGCACTAGAGTCTGCACACAATCCACCACCATCGGATTTGAGGCACTCAGTTTAAAGGCTATGTATCCTCTTCTCGATTACAAAACTCCTTTGATTATTTCTAAGCTGTAAAGGTGATGGTGGAGTTCAACAGATTCATGCCTGAACTGGACACGTGGCCCCATCAAGCGCATTGTGCAAGCGTCAGCAGAGCGAAGTGAAGGCTTGAAGTGACACGTGCTTTCCATCAGCTTGACTTGAAAAGGATGCTCATGTGGAATAGTTTGCTTCAGAGCAAGCATCAGAGCGGTACTCACATGAAAAATGCAGCCGTCATAATACCCTGCTTTGCTCAGCTCGATGAAGTTTCGGCAAGTTCTGCAAGAAGCACAAGATGCTGAGCCGACCTGGCTCTCATCAACATTGAACGCAAGCCACAACATGCCAAAAGTACCAGTAAAGTGGGAAAAGTACAGCACACAGTACTGTGCTTCAACTTTTCCAGCTCAGAGTTGATCAACCGGCCCCTGCCAGCTTGCCATGAGTTGGAAAGTCTTTGGAGGCCTTCACTTACTTTGGGGTCTCCTTGTAAAAGAGCTCGATTTCCAAAGTGCCATGCGTGCAGGACAGCGAAACCAGCGCCATCCTTTTTGTGCTGATTCTCCCAAAGCTGGGGTCTATATATTTGCCCGAATACTGAGGTTTCTCTTCTCTTAAATCAGATAATCAGAAAGCCTCCTCGAAAGTCGTTTCATCGAAGATGCAAGCTGTTGCAGACGCTTTGAACCTTGAGCTGTTCCAGCGCAGGCAGGTCGTCTGTCCTATCAATAACCAGCTTCAAATGGGTTCAGTGATTGCGCAGATCAATTGCTTCGAAGGGACCTTGTCTCAAACGGGTGCTAAAACTCGAGGCGATTGCATGGCATTTGGAGTTGCTTTTCGGTTTGGAACAACTTTCCAAGGCAATGCTTCAAGGTGTCGGCAATTAAGCCGAAAGCAAGAAGCAAGAGCTTGCATGACGATCGGCACCCGGCCCTAAAATTAGGGTTTGGCCCCTGGCCCGCCTGGGCCGAACGGCGGTGCCACATTTAGATAAGGTTAATAGGGGCTTGCTTGAATTGGGAGCCCGATTCTAATAGATGCCCGACGCCAAGAAGTACCACGGGGGATTGTCCCGGAAGGACGTATCTGTTCCAAAAGGCGGAACGTGCGAAGTTTTATCCCCCAGTTTTATGCCCCGCTAGTTTCTCGTCTCAAGAATAAGGGCCTCGGTCAGCTCGGTCAAGTAGCAACGGTCTGCGGCAACCACATTCATGGCGTAGAATTGGCAATGATGCGCGTGCCATGCGCGTGCTTGAGCTGGCCATTTTATCAACTTTCTCCAGGAGAGGAGTGGAGGGACTCGGAGGCGCCTACTAAGTTCTGAAACGAGCTTCAAGTGACTGTAGCCTTAGGACCGTGTCTCGACTCCAGCATTCTTCCTTCTAAGGAAAGTAAAGGCGGGTCCCTGCACTCAGCATCTGTCCTGGGTCAGCGGAGACAGCTTTTTAGCTATTGGCGGACAATTCACCATATCGCAGACCTAGGCCAATTATACAGCAACTACATCCAAACCTGGTGATTCAATTGTGTTCACGCACCTGCGTTCGTAACGCAATCACCATAAGGAGACAACAATGTTCAATTTTGGCAGGTATGGCATCAGCTTCTGGTTTGAATTGGACTTACACATGCTTGATAATGTTAGCACTCTCTGAGGGTTTCTGACCTGCTTCATAACAGCATCACATTTAGGGTACCTCAATGATAATCTCAACTGTCATCATAGCAATCAGGACAACTGATTCTTTGTAATGAATCGGTTGTGATTGCCAACGTTACTGCTAAGGGGCAGCTTGCCTAGCGTGGGCGACTTGATGGCTATCGGACCCCGAACGTCGTTCTTAGAGATTGCTTTTGACTGGTCGGTTACGCCCTTGGCAAGGACTTGACCCAAAGCATTGCGCTGCAGGAATCGGCAGACTTTCCGACCAAAGAAGAACACGCCCCAAGGGAGTAAAGGAGCTCAGCTTCGGCAACACATCGATGCAACTCTTGGAAGTGGCAACCTTCGGGAAGCGGTTCGATTACCACCGGGGGAGGATCTGAACGAATGGCTGGCTGTCAACAGTAGGTTGACCTTCTGAGCTTTTGCAGAGCGGTGTGCTTTCTGGTACATTGCCTCTTCAACAAAGTTTCTGTTGCCCTCTGTCTTTGGCAATCAGGACATTTGGTTTTGTCGAGGTCCTGCTAGGTTTGGGGATCCATTACAGGATGCAAAGTGAACTCAATTGTACCGACTTGACGCCTCCCCGTCAGCCCTTGAAGAGACAGCAGATCTGTTAGATAATTACAGAGCCAACTGTGTGGCACAATTGCGCCAATAAGAATATCTCATTCTTGGCTGCGTTTCTTTGATAGTCTCTGGAACTTCCTTTTGCTACAGCGGTTGACTTCTTCAACCAAGTGAACCTTCTGTACGGCACCCTCACCGAGTTCTGCACGCCAGAGAACTGCCCGACCATGTCAGCCGGGCCAAAGTAAGCCCCCTCTGTTGCGCATTGAAGCGTCCTTTACTTTCTGTGTTTCTTATCAAGGCCCATGTATCCTTCCTGCATCCGATACCCCTGACAAAGATATCATGTTCTGTTTCAAAGCTTCGTCGGATGCCTGCGCACCTCACCTGACCCTTTCTACTGCAGTGCATACGTGGCTTTACGCTGTCTGCTGTGGTTGCTCTTCGTATTTAGTGGGCATCATGGGGCGCACTGACCAGAAGGGCCACATTTGGGGAGAAATGCGCGGCATGCCTAAGCAGCCACATCAATCGGATGGTCTGTTCGGCTCCAGCGGCAGGCGGTCTTCTTTCGATGACTGAAGGGGTCGGAAGATGCCTTTTCCAACCTGGCTACCTACAGGATCTGAAGGTCTGTTCGATGGTTTTGACAGGTGCTCCATGCAAAGATTGCAGTTTGTCTTTTGCAGGCTTGTCCTGATGGCCTTGCTGTCCCCTCTTGTCCCTAACGGCTCAACTTTTTCGTTGCAGATACGAATACCGATGGGCCGATGGCGTAAATATAAAGCGGCCTCTGGAGGTGTCTGCTCCGAAGTATGTTGAGTACCTAATGGATTGGATTGAGACGCAGTTGGATGACGAAAGCGTGTTTCCTCAGAAGCTAGGTGAGCTCCCCAAATCTATTGATGCGTTGATGAAACGCAGTTGGGGCGAGGAACCATATTTGATAACAATCAGCCTTCACTTCAAAAGGAAGTCGAGAAAGATCTTGGTTGCAGATTCACGAGTTGCTCTGCCGAGTTTGTGTTTGGAAGGCTTTGACTCCGGACCTCATGGGTTCCCAAATCTTGTCTTATCCTGCAGGTGCACCATTTCCGCGGAACTTCGAGGAAGACGTTGTCAAGGTTATCTTCAAACGGCTGTTCCGGGTATATGCTCACATCTATCACAGCCACTTCCAGAAGATCGTGAGCCTCAAGGAAGAAGCTCACCTTAACACTTGCTTCAAGCACTTCATATACTTCACACAGCACTTTGACCTGATAGACAGAAAGGAACTAGCACCCCTGCAAGAACTTATTGACTCTATCACGTAGACAGAACGTCTACAATCACGAGGCGTGAGTCTAATTGGGCTAATGAGTGGCATGGGCCATTCGGTGCTTTATAAGCCCAAGTCATGAAGCCTTGCTTGCGCGAGTCCAGGCAGAAACAATGCATATGTATATAAGGGACGATTTGGATCAATCAGGCTGGGGCCTGCAATGATTGCGTTCCAGAATGTCGCAAATGCATTCCAATCCGGTATCTGCGTGCTGGGCACCAGCTGAGGGCCCGTTGCTTATCCCCAACGGCTTAGTTAGCACGCCCTCAGGCATAGCAGGTTCATGCAGATTGCATGTACAAAATAACGGGACGACGCGCGTTACTTGCGTATTACTTGCATGCATTACTTGCATGTACAGATTGCAATTGTGGTCGACAAAGACGGCTCGGCCGGTCATGACATTGTAGACAAAACGAACGAGCTCGGGAACACTTTAAGCGGGCGTCATGGGCTGAGGCTAAAATATACTGCCGTTGTTATCAAGCCTTGCAACTTCGAAGATTGTGCGGTGCAAATGGCGGTCCGCGCGATTACGAGTCAGGACATGTTGCCAATCATGGCGGCATATTGCTCATGAACGATCAGACACGCGTGACCATGTTTATGACCAGGTCGAGCACAGTGCCCATACGTCCATGACCTCCACAACGCCCATCAAGGCGCTGAATGAAATTGCAACTGATGTTACTTTGCTGGAGTGGATATGTTGCAGAACGTAGCCAGGAGTTCTCATGACTGGCAAGCCGCCAACAAGCTGGCTGTGCATAGAGTACTGACAATCTCGTTGACTATTGCAAAGCGTTGCTCTTCTGTGCATGATCATGTCTCTCAGGCTGACCACAGGCGAATTCTTTATTTGGCATCTGTTTTACAAGAGCTATCAGTACTGCTGATTGCAGAAAGTCTCAAGCCCGTCTAGAAGAGGCGACATTGTTTCTCATCATTGTCTCTCACTCTCCCGGTCAGGTCCTCATTCGTAAGCCCGTTTGCGGAACACAAGTACCATGTTGTTTGCTGGCATGCAGACTTCCTGCTCAAGCTGGATACCAACAGCACTGGCAGTAGCGGCCACCTCCCCAATGTCTCGGATGCCCCACGAGGGATTTCGCCCTTTTAGGCTGGCGTCAAACTGTTCATTGCTGGGAGCTGTATGGGCTCCATTCCGCTTGAATGGCCCGTACATGACTAGGACCCCATTGTCCAGAAGCAGTCGAGAGGCGCCTCTCATGAGGCCCTCGCAGACTGCGTATGGAGCAATGTGAATCATGTTTATGTTGATGATGGCATCCGTGCTGCTCACAGGCCAGTTTTCCGCTGCTACATCCAGCGTCAGAGGAGGCAGCAGGTTCTCCTGCGCGCTGTGCTTCACCCAGTCTGCAACGCTGGCCAAGGCCAACGTGTCAATGTCACTTGGCTGCCAAGACAGGTGCGGGAACTTGGAGGCAAAGAGGGTGACGTGCTCGCCAGTGCCGCTGGCGATCTCAAGTACGGTGCCCTGCTTTGGAAGCACCCCCTGGAGCACCTCCGCAATCAACTCCCTATTGCGCAGAGCTGCAGGTGCTGAGAGGCGCCTGTCAGGAGCCTGCTCTGCCCCTGCATCCAGTGGCGGCAACGTGCCAGCATTCTCCGCTTGGACTTTGAAGACCGATTCTTTTGGAAAGGAGTCGTACGGCATGATTGTAAGACGAAGGGGTGAGCGTACAGGAGATGGTGGCCAGATTGGGGATCTGTAGCTAGCTGGTTTGGACTGGAGAGAAGCGCGGCTGATGAAAATTCTGGCAGGACAAGAATGGCAGCTCTGAAGCTTGACCAATGTACTACCTCCGGATCCTTGTAGCACGCCCTTGCTCAGAGCGGATTCTGGAGCGAGAGTCACCGCCTTCATACCTTCGTACCTCCATTCAATTCTCAGAAGTCAACATGCCGTCATGAATGAACGTGAGCTGAATTGCAGCACTCCCTTCAACGTCAGCAATTGATCAAGGTCTTTGACAGTGACACCGAACCTACGACCTACTCCATGTTGGCGACTGCCAGAAGCAATTTGTGTCAACATTTGCCTCCATACTGGCACCTGGCCGGGTGCATGCTGTCCAGAGTCCAGGAAAGCTTAGCCTTCAGCATTCACCCTGCAGGCGTCTGCAGAACAATGCGCTTCCCTATACCAGTTATCTTTCTTTCATCTCTCTTTCCAGTGGGAGCCTGACCCTTCACCCTTCAATATACCAGGGCCAGCACGTTGGCAAAGAATGATAGCCAGGAAGCGCACGTAGCAAGAACCATATTTCTTGAGCCTTGCAGCGCGTGGTCAAAAGTAGACCGCCTGGCGTCCACCGTTTTCTTTGGGCTTGTCACTTTATACTGTTTAGCTTGACAGTTGGGTTAGATGGAGAGCACAAGTTGCGTTCGGCTTCTGCGAGGGACGCGGGCAATGCAGCTTAGAGAACAGACAGTGCATTCTAGCTGCCAACAGCAGGGAACCTCTTGCGCTGGGGCTTCTCATTGTTCTGCTCCCTACAGAGTTCCCATGTGGCTGGCAACACGGCGCCGGATGCTTCAAAGCAAACAATGGTTATGTTGCTCGTGCCAAGAGGATTCCGAAAGAGGACAATGGCCCAGATGGAAAGCAAATGCTGGAAAGCGAAACGCCATCTCAACATCCCAGCCGATTGCCAGAGATTTGGGAAGAATACAAAGATGTTTGGTTGCGCCGCGGGCAGCTCCTAGCAGCGAGGTCTCTGCTGGGACGTCAGTGCGCTCGCTGGAAGTCATCAAGGAGGAGCTCATGGAGGCGGTTAAAGGTGTGCCCTTTTAGCCTTTTCTACCTTACTACACCGTCGCTGCTACCTTTTATGCTCTTTCGGCCTTCTCGGAGGACGTGGGCAATCTTTGTTTGAAATGGGCCCGCATGTTGGAACACACATCGATGCTTTGACGATGCCCCAGGTGTCCAGCTGCTCAATGGCCAATGAGACCCGGAAAAGTTCCCACAAAATAGTACCACCACTCGCAGAGCGCCCCAAGCCTCAGCGAAACGGCAGGACGGCTTAGACAATTGAAAATGGTCACTCGGTCCTCGCGAGCGCTCAAATGTTTGTGATCACGTCCGTTTGGGAAGGCTGTGGGAAATACAAGGCGCCTGCAATCAGGACTCTGTACCGTACCCTTTTGCAGTAGAATTTCTGATCATGCTCGTAGGAAAGCCATACTACTTGTGGTAGTGTCTTCTGATCCAAGCCTGTCTTTTATTTTCGAATCCTGCAACAGGAAGGTGCGAGCAAATCGTAGATTTCTATCACTCCGGGCCTGGACAAATGCGACACAAGGGTATCCTCAGAACCCCCTACCTCAGGTTTTGTAGATCAGAGACACTTGCCTGTAGCAGCTCATCTCTGCTCACACCTGTTGCAGGCACAGACATGGGAATCTTCGGTGTCCCTTCAGGGAAAAAAGACCACATAGAACGGCTTATTGCGGAGTTGGAGGAGCACAATCCGACTGATAGCCCAACAGAAAATCTTGAGAAGGTATGTCAGCAAAGCGAGTTCTTATCCTGAAAGCTGTTGAGACAAGTCATGACAACAGAAAGGAGGCCCAGCTCTTGCAGTTTACAATTCAGATGTTGAGCCTCCCCGCCTCTTTTTCGCAAACGAGGCACTGCACGTGCTTATGTCACTTCGTCCAGCATATCTTTATTGCGGTCCTACAACTGGCAGGCCTTATTCGAAAGCTAAGAACATCTGGGTTTTGGAAAGCCAGACAGTCTGTCCGTTATCACAGGTTGCTGGCGAATGGACCCTTCTGTATAGTACGATCAAGATTCTGGGGTCGAAACGAACCAAGCTTGGACTACGCGAATTTGTAAAGTTGGGAAACTTTAGGCAGATCATTGATGTGGATCAGGTGAGGCACTTGTGTTGGCCACTAATTCAATAGCACAGATTTGGACCAACACTGTGGAGACAGTTCGTTCAGGTGACTATGCCAAATCTTTGATGTCGCTCGATTTTGCAAGTATCGCATGCTCTTTGCCTAGTCAATTGCGCCAAATCAACATTCTTCTGGCCCACATCATGGCGTCATGGACGAACAAGGGCTGCTTCGATCGTCTCAAGATTGGTGTAGCTCGTTGGCTTAGCTGTGGTCCACTCCTGCGTTTGAATTGTCTCGACCAACTGTATCCTGCAGAGTCAAGCTTCAAACGTCATCGACTTCCGAGTTACCGGCCTTGGCTTGCTGACAGGGAGCTTCACGATTGATGCCAGCTTCAAGCCGGTATCCCCAACAGTAAGTCAGCCATGCGGATGTTTGACTCATGACGTCCGGGAATGATTTGAATTCCCAGATGAGATGCCGCTTTTCCTTCAAAACACCCGTTGGCAGAGGCTTTCTGCTGCAATCTTCGTCCGTCGCATGAGAGGGCCGTCTGCAGATACGCTCTGAATTGGCATACCGTAAAGATTGTGGAAGAGACCGCAGATAATATAGCCACTTTAAAGCCGTGGTTCGGCAGCCGCTCAATCCATCTCACCGGGCTGGTGATTCAGAACTGTACTAAAAGCGGAAGAAGTGGGGTTGTAATCAGAAGAGTAACTGCATTGTCATCCGACATTCTGGTTCGGCAAACCTTCGTCAAAGCGGGAACTCGCCCTCAATCCCAGCTCACCCGTTGTTCGCTAAGCAGCAAAGGATGAATTTTGGCCGTCAGTAAGCCGGCCTGATTTTTTGCAGCGTGTTGAGATCAAGTTCCTGAAGTCGGTGTTGGTACCGGAGCAGCTGTTGCTCCTGTTTCAAAAGAACTACGACTTGCTGCTCTCCGTCTTCAACCCGGAGGGCTGGCTGGACATCACGTGAGTGCTCGCGTCTCCCCACAGAGTAGCAACGTTCTAAATGAGTCCAGGCATGATCACCCTTTGCGCCAGTGTAAAGCAGCAGCCTCTCAAAGCGTTGCTGATGATAATCTCCTCTTATTGGGGTGCCTTTTAGATAGCTTGTGCCAGCCGATAGGAAGTCCCTCGGGATGTCTTACTCTAAACACAGATTCCGGTGGTTCTTCGCTTCAAGTCCTGATCTTCGAGGAGATGTGAAATTAAGCTGGGCACGGCAACGTTCACGAAGGTTTCTAACCGTTGATTGTCCGTGCAGGTTTTCAGACGAACAATTGCGTGTTGGCAGGGACGACAAAGGCAACGTATTTGTGTTAAGAAGATGAGTCGCACGTCACTGCAATCCCTGTCTCACCATGGCTCGCTTTAAGTTAGAGGACGTCATATTTTGACCAGTCGAAATATCCTGTATGCTGCCTATGCTGCCCATGATGGACAACGATGAACGACGAGCGGCCCCACGGTCGCAATTCAAACACCATCTGCATGTTCAATTTCCAACTTTTAGTCGTCCTGTCAAAATGCAATGCAAGGTGGCACTGCGAAAGAGCTGCAAAGTTGCGCATGATCCCAAGCGCTAGCTTTCCAAAATTCCGAACGTTCAATCTGATGGATGAAGCTTAATTCCGGTGATGCATGTGCTCTCCGCTTGACCATCATCATCCGATTCATGTGCAATCAATGATATCATTGTGTGGCATGAATGGGCAGGCATGGACTCCGTAACACAAGGGTGGATCTCTGATATTGCGTTGAGAAGCCAACGGCTGATATATATCGTTGTATAAAGATTCTCGCATGTTGTATCTTTGCGATACACTTTTTGCTGCTCGGATCTCATCAAAGCATCTTAACGAGTGATTCATACGAGCATGCTCGTGACAACACTACTTAGGCTAAGGTTCATGTGGGATAGGAGGCCGGGTGCGTTTTACATTGTACGTGATACATGCATATGCTTTTATTGCTTGCAACATCACGCATAGAGCTAAGCAACACTCAAATCACACACATCGATCGATATCAAGGTAAATTTGATTCATGCAACCATGTGGAAACATGGCCAACACAGCCTAGCCTGGGTCTGTCCCTCACTGTCATCCCAATACTGACATTGAGCAAGCAGGCTGTATTTCATTGAGCCTGTGCGTATGCTGTGAGCCTGTGCATCCGTTTCTATGCACGGATGCACTTTTTGTGTAAACGTTAGCTGTCTTTGAAGTCTATGAAGGTATCTAGTATTGAAAGTCTTACTTCAACTTTCCTGCTTTCCGCAGGTACCTCACAAGCCGTTTCCTCACATCATACATGTCTATGGAAATCACATCAATCCCGCCTAACGCGTCCGGCACAGGCCCTCCTCCATACACATCCTCGACAGGGAGCACAACGGCAAACTGTTGCAATCCTGGCTCTGTACATTCGGTGTCTAGGCCAGACTGCACCTCTTGGATGTCATCGTCTCCCCTACGACCAACTAGTAAAGTGAAGCGATGGTTTTGCCGGCCTGAGTCCGCCAAAGAAACATTGACCGTCCGGGGCTAGCTTCGCCGTCGAGAATTTACCGACCCACTTGATCAGGTTGCTCTGCAGCAGAGAACTTCTTGCAATGAAGAGCCAACATAGGAGCATGTTGGAGCGACAAGTGACCAGACACTTTTTCTGCAACCCTCAACTACAAGTCTCTTGCACTTATTGCTGACAATTTACGAAAAGGATTGTCGTAAACTTTGCAGTGAATCTAGTTTGGGACATGAGGGGGCACGACTTACTTGCATGCTTAGCAACAAAAGACTGTATTATATTTATTATTTAGGAAGACGGAAAAAGCTTACCTTCGCAAGTTTCATAGTCTC